TGCTAATATTTTTAACTTTCTTCACTTTCATTCGATGCCTTTCGAGGACTTGAGGACTTTCACTTTTCCAGAACAAGTTTAAAATGCAAAAAAATGCGTATATTTTGTTTTCCGCAGAAAAGAGCGCAAAAAGCAACCTCACCCTATGGCACGGAAAATTAATGATGCGTACGCAAACCCAGTAAGGGCCACCTCTATAAGCACGGCACCTTGCAAAGCTGCTCCTAACACAAAACATTAGTACCCTGAGAATCTTAATTTTTGACAATTACCTCATAATCGCTTCCACATCGATCCGTGAATAAATGCACCGACAATGATCCAGAGAGGTGGTACGTGTCACCCTCTTTCAAGATGAGTTAGCTTCAGTAATAGGTTTGCACAAATACTGATAATAGATATAGGCTGATATTCGTGACCAGTCGAGGCGGTGTTGGGGGGCGTCGAATGAGCACATTCGTGGCTGCGTTTTCTACCAATAGTGGTTTAGGAAGAGAGCAACCATTGGCCTCATTCAATGCATCCCAACGCCTCCCGAGTGATTACGATATCAACTGTCAATGACAATAAACTAGAGTCTCCACTAAACCAGACCACAACATTTATTTTAACAAAACGTGATGGCATATCACGAGTAAACGAGACTACGAAGCTTGTCCCGAAAGACAGACCATAACATATTATATAAGACATATTAGACAGACTTAGTTATACAAACATATTATTAAAAGAACATATTATATAAGAAAATTAATAATAATATAAGAAAGAACAGAAAAGAAAAGAAAGAAAGAAGAAAAATAATATAAGAAAGAACATTAGACATATTATATAAGGAAATCCTGTTGTAAACGCTGAGGAAGAGGAGCGTGCAAATGGTGAGGAGATGGAGCAAGTGAGTTTTACTCATTTCCTCATTTCCCTAATCAACACTCACAAGGTGATACTCTAAAAAATGGGTTTAACCTAAAATCTGGCGAGCATTCTGGAGAGACCTTCACCCTTTTTTCTTCCCCTAGAGAACGTCCTCAAAGGGGAAGTGTCGGCAATTAAGCGCTAAAGATGGCTGCAGCAACTCGTCCGGGGAGAGGGTGGCTCCATCCTGTGCCTCGTAGTCATGCTAATTACGTCCTGTAAGGACAGGTGGCTGCAAGTTAGCCCATATCTCATAAACATCTCAGAAAGAGGTCCTGAAGCTGTCACAAAGTGGTCGGCACCCTACGGATGCTTGCGTGTAGTTCAGCACAAGCGACTTGCGACCAGGGCACAGCATTAGTTGGGGATTTTGGTGGAGCCCGTACGACCCCCCCCCCCTTTTTGGGGGTTCGGTACGACCCCCCCCCTATACATAAACTTATGAAGTTTCTTCCCCCCCCCCGAGGAGGAAGAAACTTCATAAGTTTATGTATAAGTAAGCGCGAAAAATAGAAAAAGTAACAATCCTGAACAAGGCCCCCCTCGCTTTTTGCTCATTTCTATCCTGATTCAGAAAAGAGAATAGAAAAGAAAGGCCATTAGGTTTCACCCACCTTTCCTCGAGTCAAAACAAACTCTGGTACCTGAATCAATTGCAATTTAAAGAAAAAAAAACAGGAAATTAAGCCAACTTCTCCTAAGAAGCACTCTGAGCGGTCCAAGCAAAATTGCTGGGGCGCGCTCTGACGCGTATTCGAGTAAACTGAGAAGAAGATAAATATTCGATATTCGAATAAACCGAGAAGAAGATAAACACGAAAGAGTAAATACGAACGAGAGCAAACCAGCCGAATCAGCTGATTAAAGGCCGAGGTACCGGGGAGGGATTCTGGGCAGGACCTCCAGCCCGCAAGGTGGTTGCAGGTGGTTTGATTGGAGCTCGGACTTTCAGGAAAGTAGATCTTCTGACCAGGACATGGTCGATTTCCGTTTGTCTCCCTCCACTGCTGTAGGTTACCTTTTGGGTCCTCCTTTTCGCGAAGAAGGTGCTGCAGATTGCTAAGTCGTGGGCTGTGGCTAGGTCAAGGATCCGTCTCCCTCAGCGTTCTTTGTCCCTATTCCTTGACCTCCGTGCACCCTTTCTAGACCCCTTCTGTCCCTCCCAACATGGCCATTCAGATCTCCAGCTATGGTGAGATAGTCCTCTTCCGGAACCGATCTTATGGCCTCGTCCAGGGTCAGGTAGAGCTCATCCTTTTCCGCCTCGGTCCTGCAGGGTCCTTGCCTGTTTTTGAGCACCTCATGGATGCCATCGCTTCACAATGCAGGGAGGCGCGATACAAAGTTGGACATCATCTCAATCTTGGCTTGAACTCAGACTTTTCGAGGTTTTCTCGTAATTTCTCGTCCAGTAATGATTGATTACGGGAGGCAACTCGCAGTTAGAAGGAGCAATGTCTGTGCTACACCACTGCAAGGGGAGAGCCATCCAGCTCTATTGCATGAGGAACGGCTAGAACTTTTTTGGAAGTGCTGCACTATCAGAAGCATTTGGAGGGGTCGGTGGCGATGGTAGCGGATAACATTCTTGTCCATATTGCAGAAGAAGAAGAAGCAGGAATCAAGCGAGTGTACTAATAGAAAGACCACTCTTTGATGTATAAGTGCTCACATTACCGTTCACCCCTCTTCAGGTAATGGACAAATATTCTGAGTTCGAAAAAGTGACAGAACTTTCCCGCCAACCCAATACATAGGTGTAAGTGCACTGAGATGCTGAACTCGAGCTCGCCTGCGGAACTTGCGGATCAATTATTTGGATAAAGCCGCGACTGTTTTCCCCAGCACTGTTCTGTTTAGGGCACGTCCTGCCGCTGGGAAAAATTCCCGGAAAATACGGTTCCTAACTCCATTATCTGATACGAGCCCCTCCTCCACCCTTCCTAACTCTTCCCTAGACTTTGCCCTGCTTCCTTCCAGTTTTTTTTAACATCTCTAAAAATTTCTAGTCTTTCCCCAACGTTTAGCTGTCGAGCGGGGGTATACAGCGAACTCTCTCAAGCCAAATACAACCCTCCCTTTCCCAACAACAAGCAAATACGACCCCTCCCCTCCTTATAGCGTCCGTAAAACAAGAAAAATCAACTATCAGAAAAAATTCTCATTCTCAGGCAGAATGCAAACCCTTCCCCCAGAGACCAAATACGACTCCCATCTCGGAATTCCTCAGCATACGACATGGTGCCGCTAGGAAAATTTTATAGGAAAAGCGGCCTCCTAATTCCCTTCTCTGACCCGGAATCCCCTCCCCATTCTTCATTTGATGTTCTAGACAACTTCACACTTCCCACCAATTTTTCCAGAAACTCCCGAAAACTCTCTAGTTTTCCCCCGAAATTTCGCTGTGAGCGGGAGTATATAGCAAACTTCTCTCAAAGCCAAATACGACCCTCCCTCTCCCAACAACAAGGAACAAGACCCCTTCCCTCCCCATAGCGTCCGCAAGACAAGAAAAATCAACTACCAGAATAATTCTCTTTCTCAGGCAGATGCAAACCCCGTTCCACAAATACCAAATACGACCCTCAGTTGGGAATTCCTCAACGTATGTCATGGTCTGGCCCTGTTACAGAGGGGAAGAAGTAAGAACATTCGATCCGCAAAACTAGTTAAAATGACCAGTTTGGCAGGTGATTACCTGAGAGATGAAACTACTTCATGCAAGAAGTGTGCAGGTCCACAGCCGCATGGAATGTACCGCTTGCGCAGGTCCACGAAGTGTGGCAGCACAGCTTGTGGCATGTTTATGTCCTCTCCCGTGGGAGCGCCGTTCATTGTACAATAGTTGCAACAAATTTTCTTAGAATTTTGACGCATGTGCCTGCGTTGCTTGTGGTGGTTTGATCTCATCAGACTTAGTGTATCTGAGCACGCCAAACTGTTCACTCAAGGTTGGAAAAGGTCCCTGTCGGGGAGATTTCCGACGGGTCATCCCGCCTTTTCCATCACTATAAGTCAACCTGTACTAAATCAATTTGAAGCGCTGTACAGAAATACGATTTCCAATAAGTCATTAAAAGAGTAAGGAGCAACTCGAGAAATTCCCTCACCACTTTCTTCATTACCTTCATTGCGAATTCATCTGCTTCTGCCTCGGCCTCGGCTGCAATCACAAATTTAAGCTGTTCATCAAAATCACTATATTTTTTTATTCATACATTTAGATAGACCCATAATTCGTCCCAAATACTACTCAAACCCGAGTTTCTTCTATCAGATTCAGTACAGAAAAAGATGTGTTGGAGTGCTGTAGGGGCTGCCATAATGTGAAGGTCTCTATGGGATGAAGGCAGTACAAGTAGAAGAAGTCAACTTGTCTGAGGTCCAGAGCCCTCAGTGGTCCTTTTCACGAGTCTGGTTTCAATTCACCGTCTGGGAGGGTAGACGGTTTAGTTGGGATTCGAACCCTGTTCCGTGCGAGTGGTAAGCGTGCCGCGTGCCATTACACTATCTCCACTTCATGTTGAGATAAATCGCGTAATATGTATTAGCACAGGATACGGGCATTGCGGCAGGGGAAGTACCAAAAATGCTTTGAATTTCCGTTGGAAATCCTGCAACGGCAATTGTTCGCAGATTACCGAGGACAGTTCACCGCTTATACCGTGCGAGCTAAGAGCTAAGCAATTTTACGCGCGCCGTCTCATTACGAGACCTGTGAGGCTGCGTTCATACTTCGCGCAGCGTCCACTAGCGTTTCGAGCGTCCGGCAGCGCCAGCGACTGGAAAAGTATAGATATCGATCTAGCGTCTGCCAGCGTCTACCGACGTACAAAGCGTTTCTCAGGGTTCGCTAGCGTCACCAGGGCCTGGGAGCATAGGTATATCTAGTCTTTACCAGCGTGTGCCATCGTGCACCAGTCTACTAGCGTCTGGGAGAGGAGGGTATGGTGCGATAGGAGGGTAGCAGACTGAATGTAGAGAGTATAGTGCGATATGAGGGAGGCAGAGTGGCAGACTGCTGGTAGAGAGTGTGGCGAGATAGGAGGATACCTGCTAACAGCTACCTCTTCTATCGTGCCATACTCTCCTCTCCTGGGCGCTGGTTCACGCTTGCAGACCTGTATCGATACCTATGCTTCCCAGGCCTTCGAAAAGCTCGTAGACGCTGGAGGACGCTGGTGCACACTGGTAGACGCTAGATCGATATCTATAATTTCCTAGTCGCGACGCCCAACGGTCGAAACGCTAGTGGACGCTGCCGCAAAGTATGGACGCAGCCTAATGAGACGCAGTAGTAAGTCCGACTGGCTAGCGGCCGATATATGGAACAGCGGGTTGTTTCCGCGTCTACAGTGGAACGGAGATGAGTGTATCGTTTGTACTTCATGAGTTTCTCTATTGAGCTACAACCATATCGCCGAAAATGCTTGGGTAAATCGATCGCTTGAAAGGTTTAGTGCACACCACATCAACTCGAAACATATTCTACACTCTGAAGAGGACGATAACATTGAAATATAAGGCCGATAAATGAGTTGTTCCCCCAGTACCGGAAGAGGCAACATGCTGTACCAAGAAAAGCCGACGCCTTTCTTTTCTGTCTATTTAGAGAGCTAAACTAAGAACTAACCATGGACTTTACACTGACACTTGGACTTCTTCGCAGGTCTAGAGTGGGAGTCGTCAGGATACGACTTTCTTTCACGTTTGCGCGAAGGGCTGTTGTCATGCCTATAATGACACTTTCAAAAAGCTAGAAAAAAATACGTTCCTATTCAATGCGGATCGATAAGGGGCGGGTCAGTGGGTCAGTGGGTCTGGGCTTGGCGAGCCGCCAGCATGTCTCCAACTGTCGCTAAAGCGGGTTAGCGGTAACAACTGGTGGACAACAACTGATAAGAACTTCTGCGTAGTGTTGACGCCGCGCCGAACCCATCCTGACATGCCTCTTTATCCGCAGTGAACTAGGCCTATGATCACAACCTTTTTAATTGTCACCCGTTCATGCATTTAAATGAATATATCACTTACCTGCTGGCATCTGCCTGTGCTTCCGCATCAGGATCCGACTGCGCAGGGCGACTGAATTGGAACTAAATAAATCTTTATTATTTCAGTGACTCTGAACTGCAAGAATTATGGCCGAATTATGAAAAATCACAGGGAAGGTGCGCCTCCTCGGAAACACATCGACAATACGGGCCGGCCCATCATATACAGAAAACTTGTCGCGAATATCCGTGCCATCCTGAAAAGTTGCAAGGAAACCGAGTTGTTCGTTCATAGGTTCATTTGGATCAGCATCGATGTAGCCCCAAGCCTGGCTTGCTGGCTGTAACGGAACAGATACCACCTGCATTTTCCAACTTGAATACGAGTAAGGGGAAGGCTGAGTATTCGCTCTACCGTATTATAATCACAATGCGTCATTTGTCATTTTTTTCATTTGTCATTTGCGCCAGAGGAAGCAGCAGTTTTTTCACTTCAAGGGTGAGTATACTAGTGTACTTTATAAAAGAAGCGATAATACTAGTACTAGCGTCGATGTTACTATCCGACCATTTGTGGGCGGGCACTTGCAGTGGGCGTTCGGGTAGGCACGATTGGGGGTGGGGGGGGGGGGGGGGGGGGGGGGGGGGGGGGGGGGGGGG